ATAAGTTTGAATTACTCTGTGGAAGGTAAAGCTGTCTCGACTGATCGCTCACCTCCTAGTTGCTTTGGCTCAAACATACACTCATTCACTTGCGAAGACAGGACCTAAGGAAAAGTAACTTGATTGATGCAAAGTTGCTTACTAGGATGGTAAAAGCTAACGTTCTAACTGTAAGTGTCTTTCAGGCATTGTTCTGATGTAATATAAACTACTTATTTTCATCAAAATTAATTTCCCTCGTCAAAACTTCAATCTTGCGTTTTTTTGTTCTTAAATTATCTGAAATTCTACTTTCGAGTCTATTGAGTCTATATCGTGGGACTAGAAATAATTTCTAATAGCTGACATCAGATGAAAGCAATAACTTACATAGTGCTGTCATGTGGGGACGGTGATTGTTAATGGATGGGGTGTATTGTTGTGAAGAGGTTTTCAAAACAACAAAGACAAATAAACTGCTTAGTTAATAACTTGTGGCATCAGTGGATGATGGAATGCGTCCCGTCACTGTAAATGGTTTCATCATTATAGAAACAATGGAAGAGGATTTGGTGCTAGTGGCTTATGATTTTATCATTCGAGACTCGTGGACAATAGGACTAACTTACTAGTGTGAGACTGATGAATTTAGTCTGGCAAAAATATCGATGAAAGAAGGGATTGTAAGAGCGGTAGTGAAAAGCTTTGTCATTTGAAAGAGGCCGAATGACAACAGGTGTAAGATTAGGTTTGTGGATGTATAGGAGTACCGTTTTAAGTACAGTACAGAGTTGCAGAGTTGTAGAAGCTTCAATAGGAAGCAGCTAACCATGTACGGCATTACTGGACGTATTCGGATCTGCGTAGAAATTTGAGAGTCCATTTTTGTGGGACAAAGCCGTAAAAGCTCCCGCTTGATTTAACAGTTGACAAGTACTTTTCATAAAAGTCAAGCCGATAATAAATCCAGCTAATTGTTTCTGCGGATTGGGATATCACAAATATGTCACCATTTTACTGTCTCTGAAACAATGCTGAAACTGTGGAAAGATGAATTACAGCCAGTAGTCACTTCAGCTGACTATCTCACACTTGATTCGTGAAAGTACCACAACCGTCTTTCTATCGCTAACGACCCAATGTTACGCCAGAACTAGTTCACTGAAGGTTGAAACGTGGGCACACCATAGATGACAGACGAGCTCCCATTTGCAATACAATGGAACTGATGCTAACGGCGCTGTGTTTGGCATGGACACTTGACCTTTCCGGGAATTTTCCCCCATATTGACGATGATCAGATGGTTTGATTTCCAAGCTGATTTAGACAAATAAGTTGTATGTTCCCTAAGTTGGGATTTAGAAAATAATTCTAGAAGGGATATTATGTTTGAGAATATTGGAACGTCAGTGATCACCTGTTTAGTGACAATAGTACATTGATTCCGCAAGAACAGGGAGACAATAACTTGTGATTAACAACAAGTCTGAAGAAAAATTGCTGTTCTGGATCTATTCAAACTTGTGAAGTCCACCAGCTGCATGTATTACAGGTCATAACTTGAAAAAATGTTACGTGCAGTGAAGGTGCTGTAGAAGGTCTCCAGGTGTTATCGTAACTTCACCTAGCATCCAAATGGTTGGACAAATACATGTTTCGGGTTTCATACACTAATTATACTAGACCTCAATCAGAGTACTGCTACCAAACGGTTATTTCATATCTTATTAAGGATGTTATCACACTTAAGCGTGTTCAGCGAACGGGAACTTAGTAATGAGTATTTTCAACCCCTTCTTCCATGGCCACTTAAAACACACTCATTTTCTTTCTGCTCACTGCACAGCGCGAGGTGGGATTATATTGGTGTTCCCTATATATTTGGGTTTCAACCTGTAAAATCTTCTTGATCATTTCAAAACCAATCATCTCCAGTTTTGTAGCACGAAGATTCAAAAACTACGGTCTAGTAATACAACGAGTGATTTCTTTGTTCGCTCCGACCAGTCAATATCTGGAAAACCCTACTTGAGTACATGGTTTCTTGTCAGTTAGTGAATACATTCAACGAGAATGTAGATCCTTATCGGAAAACAAGCTGTTAGGATTAATAAGCGCCAACCTACCTACACTCCTTAATTATAAAGATTGTAGACATCATATGAAACTGACATTACTGAGATTACTGTACTGCACTGATCAAAATGAGACTACAAAAGTTTCTATAATATTGGTAAAGCCGATATTTGCTATATTAGCTCCAACTACGTTCCTACTGAAGGACTATTAAGTAATGACGTTAAATGACTTACTGAATAAAAATGTTTCGTATAAGTTAAGTATGAATGTTCATCTTTTTCGGATTTAATGTACAGTATTTACTAAAAACTATTATCACAATACAGACTAGCCGAATGAGAAACGCTCCTCCTCTCTTAGGTTACTAGTTGAGAAATCTTGAGATCCTTACTCTGCTTGCCCACAAATATAATTTTCCTCCATATTATTATCGCCTTACTCACAGCCTGTTTTCACAAGAAATACTTGGAGCAAGTAATGTCCGATTCTAATGCCTACGGTCTAATTCCATGACCTCCCACCTAAAAAGAGATGGACGGATGACTCAATTAAAGATTGAACAAATTTAATCTTAATAAAACGAACCCTAAAATATGAACGTTATCAGCCATGTCAGTGCTTTGGTTAGTCATCCCAAACTAGCTGAAAACAAGTAGTACAACATACATTCTGTTCTTGTTGACTGACTAGATATATTTGGTGCATACATTATGTCAATTTTAGTTAATTCAGCAATTCCACACTCACCTAAATTTATTATTGTAAAAAATACTACTAATTATCGGTATTTTCATTTTAATTACCTATGAAGGATCATGTGTCTACAAAATTTCGACAAGTGATGACTTTGAAGTAATTACCTATTTACTTAAATGGTGTCATATTTGCCTCTCAATGTTATTTTTAGTATCAGTTACAGTGGTTGTAGTTCTTTATCTTTTAATTAAATATAACTGATATTCTAAAATATATTAACAGTACCAACCTCTATGATATTTCGTGTAGATGTAGTGCTCAGATGAACCAATCAATTGATTAATTCAACGATACGTAGGTTAGTTATAAAGTTATAAAGTGTAATTAACAAATTATGGTACCAAATCTCACATGTCCTTCTGTAATGCAGAAGTGAAAAAGATGTAATCCTAACCATCTAGGCTAAACTATGAAGTGTTCTCATTGCTGAACAAGAAGACGACAAAACTTCATTTATGTGACTTATTATTAATAAAAAGCTCAATCGGTAATCATTAACTTGGAAACCCTCGTTTTCGGATTATATCAAGGTAATGCAACATATTCGAGTATTAAATGAATTTTTAGATTGAGAACTGTATACTAACAGGACTTATGTATAGGAATTGTAAATAGTTTACGGAATTCAAACAATGGTTAAATATTCGCATAGTTCTTTAGCAATATGAAGCTAGTCTTGTTCCAAACTCAGTAAATAAAAAAGTGAAAATCAAGACGCGAATGGTATTGTAATGCAGCTCTTAACAACTACACATGTATGGAAATCAGTTAGAAACTACTACGATCCTTTAGTGAGTGACCGAGTCAAGAGTGACTATGATCGCCACTAAATACTAATTACTATCCCGTCACAATGAATACAAATAAATTCAGGGTAAAGAGAAAGTGAACGAGCAGCAAGTTATGAATGATGACAGCAACTCAAAAACGGAAAGTTGCGCGTAATTAAGTGTTTTTAGTACAGTTAAACAAAAGGAGTACAATAATTAATGTTTCTTTTTCACCAATTGCGTTTTTTTCATAGATATGTTCCACTACAATCTTAGCATACTCTTGGAAAGATTACCGCGAAGGGCACTTCTATAACACACCACTCTTCAGATTATTCAGAGGAACTGAAATAGTAGGATCAGCACATCTAGAAGCCATGCAGATTGAAATGTTAGTTACCATTGGAAAATACCATAAATATAAATCAGTATTTATTTTCATCGTATTTATCTCAGCTAATTAACGACTTCAAAATTAACCTTGATTGATTACTTAAAAGAACCACTCTACATTTTTACTAACTGCTGTAATAAAAACATTATTGATTCATTTCTTATCAGTGTTTGATCTTATATCAATCTATTAATAAGTAAGTAATTGTGAAAAGTTATGATGTGTGCATTTGCTGGTCTCCAATAAAATCCTTATATGTAGACAATAAGGTATCCAATTTTATATTCAAAGTTGCAATATGATTAGAATACCAATGGAAAAATGTTTTCTACGACAAAATCTATCTTTTATAAATCTTTTTCATAGCGTTTTTCTCATTTTGAAAGCATAAATAAATGTAGATACTTAGATTAATGAACAAAGTGATTAAGTGTTGCTTTTTCTGCACAAAAAATTTCAACAAATGTGGGCCGATTAAAATGATATAAGAGTAATTATAAATCGATTTATAGAGAATATACAATAGTGCCATCAAAAGCCAATCTATTATTTACCTTATAAAATGATACATATTCTAAAGGAAATTTCATTTTAACGTTGTATACGGTTACATAACTGATATCATTTTGATCAAATCTATTTCATAAGAATGTTTAGCTTTGGGTGGTTTATACACTACATTTTCTTGACGATTGTTACTTATTTTCAACATTGGAACTGTTTAACTGAAGTTATTTTATGTTCATTAAATTACTTTTCACTAAATATAGACAGAATTAAGTATAGTTACACTTATCCTTGAAATCGAATTTCATTACTTAAAAGCCAGAACTCACATAGATGTGTAGTCACCTAAAGAAATGACATTCAAATTTATCGAATTGATCTCATCACTAGTTAAGATTGTTTCGAATTATTTATTTAACAGTCATAAGAAGAACCAAACAGTTTCGCAAAAACATGAATCTACATGACGAATGAGCTATTGCAGCACAAAAGTCTGAACTATGCTATGAAGCGGATGTCAAAGGGGGGGCGGTCTAAAAAGAATAGTTATCTATGTACAAGAAAGTAATTCCGGATAATTCGTAATAGGTGACTCTCTAATTAATTATAGTAAAATTTTCACGTTTTTAATCTGAATAACTAATGCACAATATAATGGCATTGTTTACTTTATAACTTAAAAATTTAAAAAAATCAGTGAAACTACAGTGTAGGCATGAGGCTGTTAAAATCAATAAAACTAGCTTTGAAATTGTGTGCGAAATTCCAAAACAAATAACTCCATACTTCGTCACATATAAAGCCTAACAAAAATACTTTTACACAGTATGTACGCATAACGTTTAAAATTATCAGGAAAGTTAATTCCATGTGATCATAGAATAAAAATGAGTGTCGGATCTGTCAAATGTTGACTACTTTCTACATAGTTCTTATATATAACACGTAAATTAATTGTTTTTTGGATTAATCTCATTAACAGTATCCTGTATAAGAGTTTATTTTATTAGTGAACTACTGAATAATAGGCTAAACGGTGATGCATAAATAACAGACAACAATTCCCAAGAATAGCTTTAGTATATCGAGACTGATACGGAAACTGCTGTCTCAAATCGCTATTTCCTTAATGATTCATGGACCGGCCACCAGAAATCTCCAACCTATTCTGTCCTTGTATTTCGTTTCGCAGTTGTTTTCAAG